TCAGTTTTAGTTTGTTGTTTACATTAAGTTACTATAATCATTAGATTATATACATTAAGTTACTAAATAAAACTAAATGGAAATGAGAAATGTTTGACTAGCAATTAGCTGAAATAAAACATTATTTTTAACATATATTTTATTTCAAGAAACAAAAACACAAAAATGTTTGGTTTTAGTTAAGTATAAAAACCCTAAATACAACTGATCTAAAACTGAGATTTAGAGAATGTGTTGTGACTGTAAGTATTAAAACAACATTTAACTCAATTTAAGAATATTCGTGCTGGGAAACAAGACAAAGATGTATTTTTTGCAGTGTGTTCAGTTAAACCAGTAAATCTGTGTGTGTTGAGGTTTTACGGCGGTGAATAAGGGCCAAAAAAGATCTCCTCAAATGAACTGCTGTAGATCTGATGAAAAACACCCCTAACAATGAGCTTCGAACGCTCACTCTGCTTTATTTCTGGAATGTTCACATGCACTTGATAAACTTCCCTCAGACTGCCGTGTGTGAGAGTGTGTGTGCGTGTGTGTGTGTGTGTGTGTGTGTAATATAAATTATATGAATATAAATATATACATGTAATGAAATTCTAAATATGTACTGTATGTGTGTGTATATATATATATATATATACATAATAAATATACACAGTGCACACATATTATGTAAACAAACTTTTATTTTGGAATGTGAATAATCGCGATTAATTGTTTAACATCACAATTTTATAATTTATTTAAATTATTTCATATTGTAATTTTATTATTATATATTTGTTTTCACTGTAATTTTGGTTAAATATCTATAGTATTTATCAGATGTTTTTTTAAATATGATAAAAGTTTTATTAATTTTAGCTTAATGAGTTTAATGATGCATTGGCAACTAGCTGAAACTAAATAATTTTTTCAAGTTTTTTTTCCTGGTTCTAGTTTTAGTTAACGATGATAACCCTGGCTCTCGGTTGTCTCTAAATGAGACGCACGTGAGATTACTGGAGCAGACGTCTCTCTGCTGCTGAGGAGAAACTCCTGAGATATTAAAGAGATCTCATGTGACTCTCTCTCTCAGTTATCTGCCAAGCAGTCCATGTTTTTCCTCAGAAACGCTGCCAACATCTTTCCTCGGCGCGCAGAATAAGCCCTCGATTCTCTCTCTTGTAAAGCACCTTTTTACTGCTGGCCTCTCCGCAGAAAAACACACATTTCCAAATAATGACTCCGGCCTGCCAAGATCTCTCCCGGCGCTGCCAGCTTTCCTTCAGAGAGACAGAGATCATATGGAAAGATATTGTGGAGATTTCTAGGGTTGAAGAAAAGCGCAAGGTTAAAGGTCGAGACTATAGAAGCGGAAAATTGAGAAGTGGAGAAGAGCTACAGAAATCCAGACTCTAACATCAAGAGCTGAACACTTATTATTTCTAATACTCCAGTTCCTGTCATGTACATGTGAAGCTGGAAACAGGAACTTTCACATGAAACCAGATTTGGACCGTTTAAAAAACAAACCTTGAAGAACATTGTAACTACATGTCAGAGGAAAATTAAAATGATAAAGCATAGAACGAAAAATTGAAAAATTTCATTTTGTAGTTTTGTGAGAAAAAAAATCAGAATGGCGAGATATAAAACTGCAGTCGTGAGAAAGTCTGAATTCTGACTTTCTTTTTTGCAATTCTAAGGTTACATCTTGTAATTTTAAAGAATAAACATTTTTTAAAAAGGCAATTGCAACTTTTTTATCTCACAATTCCGACTTTTTTTCTTGCAATCCTGCGTGTGTTTCTTACAATTCTGAAGAGAAGTTAGAGCTGTGAGATAAAAACCTCCCTTTTTCAGAGTTTTTATCCTGTGGCAGTAACACATTTCTACAGAATAAAGGCTGATGAGATCCGAAGACTTCCTCCGCCGGCGTCTGCTGAACGTCTCAATGAAACGCCTCTGATCTGAATCACAAACCACTGGAAAGCCAGGAATGGGGTTTTTGCTTACTGTTCACAAACTTTTGACTGCTCGTGTAACTAAAACCATGACCATACAAAAACATTTCAGGGGTTTTGAGGACATTTCAGACCAGCTAAAACCATTCTAAACCATTTTTTCCAGCAATGAAAGCAGAAAATTGTTCATTTCCATAACCGATTTTGCAATAAAGCAGAACTGTGAGTCACAATTAACACATTTGATCACGTTTAAACCCTACTTCAGCAGATTTACTAGTAAAACCGTTGTGTAGAAAATGTGAAAAACGTCTGCAGATTGTGTCCGGGCCAAAACATCAGTCATGGTTTGACTGGCTCTCGGCGCTCCAGAGCTGTTTCCTGCTCTTGGCAGATACAGGACCGTATTTAATGTCAAAAGTTCTCGCCGATGTCCAGAGCAAATCCCTGTCATTACAGCAGATCACGTGACCTCAGAGGAATGGACGACACGCACACTCACACGCACACACACGCTCGCACACACACACTCACACACTGACACACTCACACACACGCATGCATGCACGCACACACTCACACACACACTCTCACGCACACACGCACACACACTCACACACTCACACACTCACACACACACTGCCAAAACATCAGTCATGGTTTGACTGGCTCTCGGCGCTCCAGAGCTGTTTCCTGCTCTTGGCAGATACAGGACCGTATTTAATGTCAAAAGTTCTCGCCGATGTCCAGAGCAAATCCCTGTCATTACAGCAGATCACGTGACCTCAGAGGAATGGACGACACGCACACTCACACGCACACACACGCTCGCACACACGCTCACACACACACACTCACACACTGACACACTCACACACACGCATGCATGCACGCACACACTCACACACACACTCTCACGCACACACGCACACACACTCACACACTCACGCACACACACTCACACACACACACACACACACACACACACACTCACACACACACACACACACGCACTCTCACTCAGCGCTG